ACTTGCGTCGCTTAAGTTCATCGGAAAGAATTTTTACGGAAATTAACAAACGAACAGAGACGTAACAATACCTTATTAGTTTGGTCAGATGACTTTAAAACAACTTCACTGTTTGTCTCTTACGTCAGTTAATCTGTTTAAAAAGGATGACAACCTTCACTAAAAAACGTAGGCTCAAAGAACTAACTTTAGTTATGATTCTATTTATTTTTAAACTTTATCAGAATCTTTATCAGCTCAAGGGACTCCAGATTCACATGGATTTATTTTTCGTCAGACTTTAACCTGTTTTCGTATTTTCCTCTTTCAAAATAAACTCAAAAATACATCACTTAATAACCTATTGGTGTTTAAAAAATTCATTAGCAATGAAAACACATCTCTATTAGGCACATGTATGTGTTATGCGTACGCCGATTGGTTTCTAAGTGCAGTAAACACATAGTGTCCAGACTTGAGAAAGATATCAGAACAGTGGTGTTAGTTCGTAAGCAGAAATGACTTTTTAACAAATGTATTATTATGCGTTGTGCTGGAGTATTTTTCGTTTGTGTAAATATTGCAATTAATATTGTTTAGAGAGTGGGTGTGAGGTAGAAAATATTCTTGCTTAGGGTCCCCCAGTGGGTTAGCACCGCCCTTGCAGGTAACTATTTTGAGTGACCTAAGAGAGAGGGTAAAATGGTACACAAAACTTAATAATAGGAAAGGTAATTATTGAAGTTACTGAAAATGAGAGGTAATGCCATATATTATCAGAGATCGATTCTTAATAAGACAATCACTGACAAGGGAAATATTCACTACAGAGGATTTACACTGTTCAGTAATTTTAGAGTTACTGACAAATAATGATAGTGTTTTAAGTGAGTGTGGACTGATTCTTCATAGATCACACAATTCAGTTAATTTATTGTTATAAGAAAAGAGTGGTAATGTTTTAACTAAAGGCAGGTCGATTTTCCATAAATCAAATTTTGAAGTTGAAAATTGATGAAAAATATATTGTTTTTCTTTATTGTTAAGTGCAGAGCTACACAATGGGTTACGTTTGCTGTGCCATTACGGACATTAAACCTGGTTTTTAGTATTATACTTACTGCTGAGCCACTGGAGGGCTGAAAAAAGAAAAACAAAGATTTGCACACACGCACTTAGGTGGTATCATAAGTGATAAAGTCATTTGGATGGCTGGTGTAGTAGTGTAGGGACTTCCTTTGCTTGTCCCAGAGTAGGAAGTTCAGATGACATAGTAGTGGTCGTGAGCAAAGCCACTGGATTTCTGGGTTTTGCATACATTTTAAGTGGATGAATGCAGTAATGCATATGTTTATTTAGACAGAGAGATATCTAAATACATTGGAAGGTAGGTTCAATTACTTTAAAACACCCTTTGGAAAGACAAATTATTCTCCTGTATTATGTTAGTACAATACAAGGCTGTGATACTCAATTTAAAATCACTACGATAACTTTTAATTACCACAGTTGTATCCAGAGCTTTAAATAATTGTCTCCTTTTCATCAAAACCCACACAGGCTTCTTCTATACTTTTGAACTCCATTTGACAAGACAAATTATTCTCCTCTATCTTTGTTATTACAATATAAGCTGTGAAACTCATTTTAGAAATCGCCCAGTATGGCTAATTCACACACAGCCTAGCTTCACTTTTACTCTCACTTTCATTAACTTACTTACTTGCGCTAACTTGGCCGCCTATACATATATATTGCCCAACTGAGGCCTAGAACGAAATGTTATGATGTAACAATACTCAATGAAATAACGCAAAAAATTAAATGTTTGAGTAACGTGACGTCAATTCACAACAATTGAACTACACAACAAATGATTCGTAGACAGTTACATAAGCAAACCTGTCATAACTGTCGCTTTTAAAAGTAACTTAATTTAATGCTTGTTCAATATAAAATAAATAATATTATCGTATTAAACTTAAAATGAACAGTCGTGTATACCTAACAATAAGTCCCTCTTCAAGAAAAATATTTACAATATGTTTTATACTATATACAAAGACTGTCTCCTCATATTGTCTGCGCCAACATTTCCAGTTTCCTTGTTGGTCTCTCATC